AATCCGGGTGATGGGGGGTCTTGAAGACGTAAACATCGCCGTACTTCCCGTCGAGGGACGGAATGCAAATGCGGCACCTCGAGTCCCGCAGTCTCAGATCTCCCAGGACATCCGAGAGGATGATGTCCAGGGGCTTGCGTCGGTAGCCGGTGCTGACGAGCTGGACCAGTCCTCGGATCAGCCTTCCCCGAGGAGGGAATATCTCGCCTCCCCGCGTCATGTAAAGTTCCGCCATCTGGCTGGACGTCATACCCGCGGCCAGACCGAGGGCGATGATTCCCCCGGTCGAGGTACCGACCACGAGATCAAAGTATTCCGCAACCGAACCTCCAGAAAGGTGCTTTTTCTCCAGTTCGGCGAGCACTGTGGAAGTGAAGATTCCCCTGATCCCTCCCCCGTCCAGAGACAGGATGCGAAACGGCTGGTCTGATTCCCATTCCAGCCGCTCGCGTCGCCGTGAAAGTATTCCTGCTGACCTCTTGGGCAGTTCGTCAGACTGAGTCATCCGCATGTCCAGTTGCCGGTCGCGTGCCATATTTCGTAGCAGAGCAGCCACTCGCTGATCCAGGGGACCATCTCGGATATAGGCACGTCAGGGCTCCATTCATTGCCTTGTTCGTCGTAAAGACACAGTGCTCTTACACCCGGGTGTCCTGGGTATTCAAGATGAGGGATTTCCTCGTCGGGGGCTTCCTCACGCCGCTTGGGAATCGGTGAGATGATCTCCACAGTCGGGCGCCGGAATATTTCCTCGGTCCCGTCCCCTGACCGCCCAACCCGGCAGACCACCTTTACCTCATAGGCTTTCCCAGCCGGTGTGATTATTCCTTTCCAGAACACGGTTCCAGAAGGGGTCCTCTCCATTCGGAGGTTGGGAAATGCCCGTTGCATTTTCCTCTGGTGCTGTTGGAGTGAAAGGCCCATGCTCTCCCTAAATCCCTGGTGGAGAGTGAAATTGGTGCTGGCGTGTCGGTCGGGAGTTGCGGGGTTGAGCTTGGGGCACTGCGGGAACCACCAGCCCGCCCGTTACCTTTTTGTGGGAGGCCTGGTTGTCCCTGATCGCTTGCCCCACACGCTCCCCGTACCGGTTGACGGCTTCCCTGGTGGGATACTCTCCGAACAGGCCGGCGAGAATCCCTTTGGCTTCGCTAACATCACAGCCTTCATTTAGCCGCGAGACTTCGGAACTGAACTCCCTGAGCTTCTGAACGAAGATCCGGGCCTCGGATCCGTCCACCTTCCACCGGTCGCTGAGAACGTCTTCCGGGCAGACTGGATTGGTGATGGGTTGGTGGCTTTTGCCGTGGGCCTCGATGTAGTCGGCGACGCGAATTGCCGTGAGTTCAAGGTCCTTTGACAGAGGGAGCCTCGGATTGGAAGACTCTGCGACGATCCGCGAAAGGATCACCGAGGGAGGTCCCTGGTCCTCTTTACCTTCGTACTGGAAATTGCGCCACTGCTTGATGAGCTGGAGTACGATCGTTGGCTGTGACTTGTTCTCCAGCTGTTCGTGCTCCGGCACCGGGTCAACGTCGGCCTGCATGGTGTCGTAGGACATGGCAAGGACTCTGAAGGCGTTGGCAAAGGGGTCGTCATCTGCGTGAGTTCGCTGGTTGTACCACTCCGCCAGGCCGTAGGGGTTAGCAACCAGCCGCGCCTCGGCTTGGGGTGTTTCCTTCCTGTTTTCGAAAATCCAGCTTTCCCGCTCCAGTGTGCTGGGTCTCCGGATGACGGGTGTGATGTCCATGTGCATCTCGGAGTATTCTATGGTCACGCACCTGCTTCGGCGGCGGGTCATCTGGTAATACTGGGATCCCTGGGTACCTTTTATGGCTTCGTACAGCCCGTCCAGGACGCGCTTGGGAGACATCTCCTCAGAGAGGAGCAGTTCGGCCGCGATATCGATGTCGTACCGGTCCTGGCTGTCCCGCGACAGGATCGTCGCTCCTATGGCCATGGACCCCTGCGGGTACAGCTGTGAAACTCTGTCCTTCAACCAGCTCTCGTCTCTCTCCAGCCAGTTGGCCACAGTCTGATACCTCTGGGTAGCCTGTCTGTGTCTGGACGGGCTCAATTGGACGCGGGCGGCTATCTCAGCCAAGAGTTGGTCGGTATAGTTGATCAGCGGTTCGGAAACCCTAGTTGCCATCAATCACTCCTAATTTGCCTATGTTGTGGTATTTGCCGGGGGGCGCATGCCAGTTCCGAGAGTGGACGGCCTGTCCATTTGTTGAAATTTCCCGTGAGGCACACTTCTCCGTTGAAAGAGACCTGGCTCCCTCACGGACAACAAAACGGCCGTGCCTGTCGGCGCGGCCGTCTTTGACTTTACCCGACGGGCCAGAGACCTGATGATCTTTGGACCTGTGGGCGAGGCAGGTTAGGTATCCCACACTCAGGGGACCTCCCCGGCAGGGTGGTTACCGGTCAACAGGGAGATTCCGCAGTTCTGGGGCACTTTGCCAACCTTCCCGGCACTTGCTTGCGACATAGGTCCTGCACCGCGTCTCATGCTTGCCTTACGGCCGAACGTAACGATACTACGATAAAGTAGTCCCATTTCTGTGTCAATGATCTACTGTCCCAATTTGGAAACAAACATTGGCCGGACTTCACCGGTCCCGACGAACTGCGACAACAGGCGGTAGTTCCCCAGCTTGTACCGGACTCGTCCGGCAACGATGGCAGGGTGAATGCCCAGCTGCTGTGCCAGATCAAGCACCGCCATCGGAGTGGGGTTATCGGCGATCCCGCTCGCGTCCCAGGCGGAATCCGGCACCAAGGCCTGAACGGTCAAGTCATCCGCATGGGACTCCCGGCTGTTTGTCCCCTCCAGTTTGAGATCGTCGATGAAAGCCGTGCTGCTGTCGTTCAGGTGATGGGTTACGTGTGCGAGTTCGTGGAGCAGCACAAACCAGAAGTTGTCGATACGGTCGTAACGAAGGGTCATGCCGATGACAGGATTTCCGTTGGAGGACCTCATCGCGGCGCCGTCCAAGTAGGTGCCGGGCAGATGATTCACTATCTCGACGGCAATCCCGTGGTCTGCGAGGAAATCCACCGCCCTTCGGGGACCGTTTGGGGAGGAACTGAGCAGGGCGACCTGTTTCAGAAAACCGGGCCGGTCCTTTATCTTGCCGAACAGTACCTTTTGGTTTCTTTGATTGGCCTGGGCCAGGACCTGCCAGCACCAGGCCGTCAGTGCGTAAGGATTCGCCTTGGCGTTGGCGCGGTTATGGTCGTTCTTACGGTAAAAGACGAACGGCTTACCCTGAAGGCCAGCCTTATTCTGAAGCCCGAAGACCAACTCCTCGGCATTCTGCCGGAGGTTGCCCTTTCGCTGAATCCATCCCCTGGCAGCCATTTGGCCCAGCGGGAATCTTCGCCAGTCGACGTCAGCCTCGGACGCCCTTGTCTGGACTACCGCGTCCTTGAGCAGAAGGTCGGCAGGTACGCCAAGGTGGGTGTGCAGTGCCCTGGCCATGGATATTGTGATGGCGCGGTTTCCAGACAGGACTTCCGACACTCGGGATCGGCTGCCGATCATCGGAGTGAGATCCTTTGGAGCGATGCCGTGCTCATCCATGTAGAGCTTCATCGCTTCAACGAAGCTGTTGGAGTTGGACCACTCCCGTCGCCCGGAATTTCTTCTGCCAGATGGTGTAGAGGGGTTTCTAACCCGTTGGCCGTTCTTGCCGATGGCCGCGTTCTGCTCCGTTGACATGGTGGCTTCCGCCTTATTGTAGTGGGCTGACGATTCGGGACTTATATAACCTGTTTCCATTTGTGCGCGATTTTATCATCGTTATCAAATCGCTGATAACCCAGTGGGAGGCCAGATCGTATGGCTAACGAAGTATTTTTCGGCGACGCTTTCCAATATGCTCACCGAGTACGAGTACCGTTTCTGCTCCGGGAGCCACTCGGCGGCTTCCTTGTCGGACTTCTGGTGTCGGTTGACGCTGGGAGAGGCCAGGGTGAGGTTCAAGAGGTCGGGTGCGAACTCTGTCCGGGTTTCGGGAGCGGCGGTGCAAAGGCTGCTTTCATGGACTTCGGAGCGGGCGAAGATGTGCTTGATGTCCGTTTCCCTGATGCTGTCGAACCAGGGTGCTGGTGTAGGGGCCGTAGATATCGCCTTGGGATACCACGATGCGAAGTTCGGCTGAGGGCGATTGGCAGTAGTAGTCCTGATTGTAGGGATAGCACCGTTGCTCGGGTGCTACGGTGATGCCGCGCCAGGTTGAACCGGGCTGAATGGTCTGATGCGTCGGTGCAGAGGTTGGAGATTCCGTGGGCGGCGGCGTTGTAGAGGGGTTGAGGTGATCGGCGCGGCCATGGCAGTTGCCGGTGGTGTGGGTATTGATGTAGGCGCTCGAGTCGGTGAGATCGTTGGAGGGGACGTGGATGTCGGCTCCGCGGCTACCTGAGGGAGAGCAGGTCTACTGGTGGTCTGTTGGGTCCTTTGGATTTGGAGTGGCCGGTTTCGTTTCTCTGGGTTTGTGGGTGGCGGATGCGAGGTGTCAGGTCGTGTCCTCTGGCGGAGTCTATGCCTGAGCGGTTGGAGGAGTTCAACTTTGCCGGGCGCTGTCCGCCAGTTGTCTTAGTTGTGCAGTGTTCATGATGGGGATACTCGACCTTTCGTGTAGAACCATGATGTCCTGGTCTCTTGATATGAGGGCGTCGGCTCGTGCACGGTGGGCTGCGTCTATGAAAATCTGGTCGGTTTCGTCCCTGCAGATCGGTGTTCCTTCCGGCCTTAGCCCCTCACTTATTCTTTCACAATGCCTGATGTATGAATCTGCCAGGTCATTGGCTTGTTCTTCTGTGAGGTCGAACTTGGGCCTTCTGAGTACCTCTCTCAGTTGGGCCTCGGTGCTGCCGGAGCAGATTGGGATTATCAGTCCCTTTGTCCAGTATTCCTCGATCCAGTCGTCGTTGCTCTTTCTCGTCAGGGGCATTATCACTATGTTGGTGTCCAGGATCACTCTGGGCGCGGCCATTTACTTTCCTCTGACCTTCCTCACCTCTTCCAGGACTTCCTCTTCGCTGAGGTTCAATGCTTGGACTTTTCTCCGTGCGGCTTCCACCCGTGCTGTCCATTTCCTGACGTCTTCTGCTATTGCGGGAGCTGCTTCCCTGAGAGTTGTGGTGACTGTTTCTGGGTCTGTGCCGTGGCTCCACCGGCCGACCGGTGTCCAGTCGTCGGGGAAGTGGACTTCTAGGGAGGTCGGGTGGTCCTTTATGTATTTGCCGAGGTCATTCAGCAGTGCGACCATCCCGTAGGTTCGGCCTGTTTCTTTCCTTTCCGTTTCCCTTGCGCCGTATTCATCGGTGGCCTGTCGCAGGGCGTCGTAGACGGACCATTCGTCGCCTGCTTTGGCGGCTTTGTCGATGATGTAGGCGGCTTCTGTGATGACGGTTGAGGCGTACCGGGCGTTTGCGGCCGGGGTGCTGCTCTCTGTGGCCTGCATGATTTTCCTCTTACTTGATTTGGGTGCCGTTGCTTGGATTGTCTGTGTTCCGGGTTCTGCCTGTCAAATTCAGGGTGAAGTGTGGCAGTGTGCCAGGTTGTGTGTAAACGGCGGAGGCAAATTGTTCCGTGCTGGCGGGTAATCGCTGGCCATCAACACCATCGGCGGTGGCAGGGCATCCTCCGATTGGTGTGCTGGGACATTGTCCAGCGGCGCGGAGGTGCTTTTGTCCTCAGGGGAGTGTGTGTGCCGGTTGGCAGGCCGTCCTCCAGCCTTGGGACCGACATGATAGAGAAGCTCGGCGACGCCGGGCATCGTTCTTTGCTGGGTCAGTCGGTGCTTGGATTCGCAGCTCCGGCTTTTTCAGCGTAGCGACACCGGTAAAGTTTTTTGGTATCGGTTCAAGTTCCTAGAATCTTTGGCCTTACCTTTCCCTACAGGCTGCTGACGTATCCAGTGGGCGGGCTAATAGTGTCAACATGAGCGGCCTGCTCCGCTTGTTCCCCCGCTCTTCTGGCGGCTGCGGACCCCCTGTTGCTTTGCCGATCTTTTTCGGCGCATTTCTCGCAACGGACCCGGCCAGGCATAGCTGGTTCGGGGCAAGAGGTACACTTTCCCTTCTTTTTGGCGATTCGCCGTTCCTTTCGCAGGGACTGACGGTTCCCCCCTTTGCGTTCAGGAGTTTGATTCCTCTTCCGGTCGTATTGCTTGCGTTCCTCTGGTGTGTGTTTGGCCCGAGGCTGCTTAACAGCAGATTGGTTATCGGTGGGTTTGTCCTTTAGGACAGTATGCTTGGAGCGTTGGGCCTTCGCCGATTTCGGTTTCTTCGTCCCAGCCGGTGTGGCTGGCTTTGGGGTTAACTGGACTCTGCGTGACCGACAGAAGGAAGCTGTGCTGGAGAATAATTCTTTTAGAGTACTGTGCGGGGTCAGGGTCAGCACCACCTCCACACAAGACTACATGACTTTCCTCACAGGGAGGGCGGCATGAACGACCGTCGACGCTGCTACTGGAACACCACCTGAGAGAGCTGAAGCTGCCCAGCTTCCTGAGAGAATACGGGAAGATGGCCGGGCAGTGCGCCGCCGAGAATGTGGACCACACCCAGTACCTGCTGCGCCTGGCAGAACTGGAACTCATCGACCGGCACCAGCGCATGGTGGAGCGGCGGATCCGCGCTGCCCGATTCCCTGCCGTCAAAAGCCTGGACACCCTCGACTTCCCGGCTATACCGTCGCTGAACAAGGCGCTGGTGATGGAACTGGCACGCTGTGAATACATCCAGCGCCGGGAGAACGTCATCGCCGTCGGCAACAGCGGCACCGGCAAGACCCACGTGGCCCTTGGGCTGGGACTGGTCGCCTGCCAGCGGGGCATGTCCGTGGGTTTCACCACCGCCGCCGGTCTGGTGCATGAGATGATGGAGGCCAGGGACGAAAGGCGCCTGCTGAACTTGCAAAAACAACTGGCCCGGCTCAACCTGCTGATCATCGACGAGCTGGGCTTCGTACCCCTGTCCAGGACCGGGGCGGAACTGCTCTTCGAGGTCTTCACCAGCGCTACGAGCGGGGCTCCACCATGGTGACCACCAACTTGCCTTTCGACGAGTGGACCGAGGTCTTCGGCTCGGAACGCCTCACCGGAGCGCTGCTGGACCGGCTCACCCACCACGTCCACATATTTGAGATGAACGGCGAGAGCTACCGGCTAAAACACAGCCTGGAATCCGCCGCATCGCAAGCTTTAGAAGAACCCGACGAGGAATAACTCACCCTGACGCTGTCTCCTCTTCCTCCCAGAACAGCGACTACTCCACTTGCCTACGGCCCCCGGTCATCAGGCAGATGGTACAAGATCGCGGCGCCCCAGTGGCCCAATATCTCGGCGCCCTTGACAACCATGATGCAGTGGGAATGAAAATCAGATTCTGTACCTTTAACAGGGCCGTTCAGACCCCATAAGCAAACGGAACCGGGTAGACGGTTGCGGTTGCATGCGAAAAAGGGGTTCCTTTCAGCGGGACCTACTGGTAGGAGAAGTGCTCTTCGAGACCTCTGTCAAAAGAGAGCCAACTGTCCTTTCCGTTTTGCCTCTTCAGGATCAAAGGCCCTTCGGCGACTCGCAGAAGGCTTAACTAGTCTCCGCGAGTCGGGTCTCTTTTGTCTCGGGCCAGGGATTTGGATGGTGCAAAGGAAAGAAGGTCTTTTTGCGAGGTCTATGGTCGCGGGTAGCGGGCTTGTGAGACGATGCGCAGGTAGCCGTTCTGGGTTAGCGGACAGGAGGCCCATCCGTGTTCGATGTTGTTTCCGAACCAGGAGGATACGGCGTTGTGAGAATCGTGATTCGTGTCCAGCAGGGCGAGTAGGGCGTTTACGTCGTAGAGTGATCTCATAGTTCAGATGCCCAGTTCGTCCCGGATGTCGTTGACGATGTCGTTGGTGACCACGTAGTCGGCGGGGGGGAAGGGCCTGATGCCGTACTTTTCGAGGTCTGGGGCTGACTCAATCGGATTTACGTCCGCTTCCACCCGGTGTCCTTCGGGCAGGTCGATGGGATGGTCGAACACTATGGTCTGGCCCTTTACGGTGCCCTTTAGCCTCATGTTGTGTCCTCCGAACGGTGCTGGTCGGATTGTACACTGTCGCTGTCGGTGGTGCGGGTAGTGGGACCGGCAGGCGTTATCGTCATGTTTGATGGCATGTCAGTGATTGCTCCTGTTGATTCTCCGCACGCCCTAGTAGACCAACATCGTAGAAATGATGGGGAATTCTTGCCCCCAGGTTACGCCTTCAAATCGTGGCCCGGCCATTTCATCAGCCCAACTGCCCATCAATACAAAGATTTCGCTCTACTAGGGCGGCCGATTCCTCTTCGCTGAAGTAATCAGGGATCCGGTGGAGTCTGCATGCCGTTCTAACGCACGATGGTTACCTTTTGGAAAGCGATGCCGCAGATATAGCCCAAGGACCGGGGGGCACGCAAGGCGGGCTGGGGCGGGGATTGCCGGGGGCGCTTTCCAAAATCGCGGATAAGCGCAAGTAACAAACAAGGTTGGCAAGTGGAACGCCATCTGGCCCCTTGGCAGGCCCGGGAGTCGCGCGAACCTCCACTGTCGCTTACAAGCTCATCGGCAAGAGGCTGCTACCCCCTCAACTTTAGCAGTCCGCATCCTGGTCGTCGTAGCCCAGTTCGCGGGCGCGCTGAAAGTCTTCCTCTGCAGTATGCTCATCTCCCAGCAACAACCGGACCAAGCCGCGCCCATAGGTGGAACGGCCGCTGGTGGGGTCTATTTCAACGGCCATGTTGAAGTCGGCTAGCGCCAGGTTGAGCTTCCCGTTGTGCAGGTGTGCATTCCCTCGGATGAAATGTGCTATCGGGTCCCGGGGGACTGAGTTGCAAAGTCATGTTGCAGTCTGCGACTGCCAGTTCATAATTCCCTGTGGCGACCTGGGCGTCCGCGCGGAACCGGTACCCGTGCGGTGCTTTGGGGTTCAGCAGCACTGAAGCGTCGTAGTCGGCGATTGCCTGGGCAAGATCGCCCTTCATTCGGTATGCTCCGCCGCGCCCCAGGTGGGCCGCCGCATTCTCCGGGTCAAGCCGCAGGGCCGTGTCGAAGTCGGCGATAGCCCCGTCGTACTCGCTCTTGTACCGCAGGCAATCGCCCCGCACGCGGTGGGCGTCGGCGTGGCTGGGTTCCAGGCGGATGGCTTCGCAGAGGTCCTCGAACGACTGGTCCAGTGCGTCAAGTTCGACGTAGGCCTGTCCCCGGTGGTAGTAGGCCTTGGCATCGTCAGGCCTGAGCTGGATGAGTTCGCTCATGTCTACAGCCATGCGGTCCCACTGCCCCAGGTTAGCGAACATCAGGCCCCTTAGCATATATGCGGTCGCCTGGTCCGGGTCGTGCTCCAGAACGGAGTCCATGTCCGCCATGGCCATGTCGTCGGCGCCCTTGGCGAAATATGCTATCCCCCTCCTTAGACGGGCATCATCGTCATCGGGACTGAGCCTCAAGACCGAGTCCATGACGGCGATCTCTCGTTCGTACTTGGGAGTGTCATCATTTCCCTGGGTCTCCTGACCGAATTCCCGGAGCATTTCCGAGATTTGCAGCGTGCCCTCATCGGCTCCGAAATGCCTGGCCCTCCGGAGGTACTGCCTGTGCTTTTCGTAGTCGCCGGTCAAGAGGACGATTTCCGAGGCCGGCAGCAAAGCCGACGTCTCCTCAGGGTCCAATTCCAGGGACGTCTCGAACGCGGCCAGGGCTCTGGGCAGATCACCGGATCCCCAGTATGCGGCCCCCAGCGTGCTGTGGTAATCGGCATCCAAGGGGCCGCACTCCGTCCTCACGTTCAGCAGATGCGAGACGGCTTCCGGCGATCTCCCGGTGCGATGCAAGGTCGACCCGATTTCCGTCCATGGGACTATCCAGCCCGGGTCCAGTGCCACGGCCAGCCATAGCGTGTCCAGGCCCTCGTCGATCAGAGCCGTCTCTTGGCGCCAGAAGCCAAAGTTGGTCTTCAGCGAACCCACCCTGAAGTGATAGGCCGGTGCCAGGGGCTCGAGCCGGGCAGCCCTCTCTGCCTCGGCGAGGGCTTCGGCAGATTTTCGGCGGGCCTGGGCGTACCGAATTGCGAACTTTTCGGTGGGAAGTCCGGATGTGAGGAGTCTAGGTTGGTGGGCCGCATTGGTCGGGTCCAGTCCAGTCAGATTCGCACATTTCGACTTGGACCACTCGGACTGTTGTGGAGCGATTTTGATTTTCCGACCGGATTTCCGTTCCGCAAAACGTACGCTCCTTGGAACTTGAGCCAACCGTATGGCTGCCCTAATGTCCCTGTCGACTGCTTTTCTCCGGTGACGGCCCAGCACATTTCCAAGTCGTACTCAGAGAGATACCCTTCGAGTAAATCCAATCGCAATAAAAGTGCGTTGGGACCCAGCTGGTGGGCTGATGGGTCAAATGCTGCCATTTTCGAATTAACGTCGACATAGTCGGCGCCAACTCCGGTCCAGGTTAATCGGCAGCCTCGAACTACCAAATGGCTCGGCAAGTGCAACGTAGAAATCGCATCTTCATCAGCCGAACAATCATACTCGCTTCCCGCAGTCGAACAATGTGCGGCAAGGCCGTAAGCCATAGTCGATTCCGACCCCGGCGGATGACACCATTCGTGCTCATTTAACCTTCCTGAATTTGTCAATTGATCAAAAGCAGGCCCCCAAGCGTATTCGCCCAAGAACGCGCTATCACCGCCGCCGAAATCGGGAATTGATTGGGGCCAATGCTCGTCTGAATATGCTCCGGTTAGTACCCACTCCACGAAATCATCCGCTTTGCCTCGGGGCACCAAGAAGGCGATAGAGCGGGTCCAAATCTCTTTGCGCTCGACATCGTACTCTCGAATATCGGGTGGAGTGGGTTCACTACGCACCTGAAAACAGTAGGCATTGACCCATCGGGTGTTGGTGTCGCTTGGATCAGTAATCAATAACCCACGATCCAATTCAGGCACATCTGAGGCGTTGGCAGTCCAAGTGGATATGGGCAACTCTACCTGCCAATTGTCGTACTCCAATGGCGCCCACCAAGTGGGTCGGCGCGAATCTGAGGTCTCACCTGCACTAAGGCGGGGATTCACGATCGTGGATGGATCTATATCCCGACGGCCCACCTGCCAGGGTCCTTGATAGTCATGTACATTTTCCCATTTTTCGTGGTATTGGTGGTTATCGGCCGTGAACGCCAATATCTCATGGTATGCAATCCACTGGTATTTCTTTCCCATCCTCTCTGGTTTGCGTGTGCCGCGGAGGTCGTTTCCGGCAAAGTTTAGGGAACTATCAAAAACCCCAAAGCGTCGCGCGGTCCATCCCAATGAAACTACTCTTTGGAGGATATACCGCTGTATAGCTTGTGTATTAAAACCTGGACGGATTTCGTGCCGTGAAGACCATTCATCCCAGTGCTCCTCGGAAAGAGTGGCCACGAACCGAGAGTACGCATCATCAACGTCGCTGGAATCCGCTCGATGGATCGACAAACGCTTGGAGGTCTGAAAATTGGAATCTATTGGCGGTTCCGATGTGTCGCCGTCTTGTTGAACGGGGTCTCCATGATCATCTTCGGCTGAGAGGAAATCAATTTGTGGGGGTGGGACTGATTGGCAGGCTTCGAGGTACTCTTCCCATGCATTTCGTTCGATACCATTGAATCGCGGGATGAGTAGTTGCTCCAACTCATCAGCAGATCGCCATTGTTCCTGCTCGATCCCAATGGACAACCAATGGCGGGAGGTGTCCGTGGAATTGGTGCCCAAGATGTACCTTGCGAAGTCCCATTGTTGGACGGAGAATGGTATTGCATGCCAAGCGGACCGGCCGGCGTCGCCACCAGCCGACTGTTCCATCTTTAGTATAAAATCTTGGGTTAATTGCTCATCAGGGATCTCCGGGAATGTGCTTTGGTAGGGAGGGCGGACCAGATCAAGGTCGAAGTCTCTAGCGGCACCAAGATAGGCTGCACGTTCCATCACGCCCCGAGCATAGTCTCTCAGCAACAAATGAGCCGGTGGAGTTCCACCAGCAAATACTTGCCTGTAAACCGATTGGGCTAGGCGGCCCACTCCGGTCGCGTCGTTGCTACGCATAGCGACACCGTAAGCGACGGCATATATGCGTTCGACGACATACGGGTCGTCCACGTCCGCAAATCGGTTTAAGAGTCGGTCTAACGATTCCAGCCGGCCCGTCAAAAGGGCGACCAATCCCTTGGTTGCCCGGTCTCGCAAAAAACGGTGGGGAGTGGATAGCATCCAACCCAAGGTTATCGCGGCTAGGTCAACCACCTCCTCATCCACTGTGTCGCCGGGGGAAATATTGGACGCCCATTCGACCAGCCGGTCCACTGGCCCTTCGTCACCCCAGGCACGGTGGAGATACGTACTCCACCAAGTGTCCCTGTCAGGCATGTTGTCTTGGCGCAGTCTGCGGTCCAGAGAGTCCGCATTGAAGGGATGCCCCGGGATAGCTGAGACAGTTATGAGGGTATCCTTGGGTTCGGAATACATGTGCTTGTTGGCTACTAACTCGTTTAGCACGACGCAGGTTTCTTCGGAAAAAGCGGCTAGTCCTCGCCACACCAAACTCTCCAAAAACGCTTCGCCGATCCCCCAAAGGTCTTGGAATCGTGGTGATATGCGGACCAGCTCACGACCGGTACGCTCAGGCATCTGGATACACAGTGCCTCGGTCACTCCTTGGGGCAGGAAACGATTGCGCTCGGCGAAGTTGGCCAGAGAATCCCTCCTGTCGATAAACCCTGCTACTTTGTTCCCGAACAGATGCAGGAAACGCCTGGCAGAACGCCTCCATCGTGTAGGTAGGCTTTCGAATGTCCTCGACAGGTAATTCCTCTCCAGATGATTTTGGATGATCACTTCGGCAACGATATGATCAGCGAAGCGCTCAAACGCAATGGATACGATTTCGCTTGACTTGCCGCCGCACGAGCCCCGCATATCTTCCAACAGGACTCCTTCGTCCACCATTCCACGATACAGGGAACGGCTGAAATCTCTGTCGGGAAGGAGACCGTTAACTACCTGGGCTGCGTCCTCTCGGATTAGCCAATTGTTGCCGGTTTCGAGGAACCTCTCGGCTAGCCTTTGCAGCGCAAAGCTGACCTTGTTCTCTTTCGAGTCGTAGTCGAGCCGACCAGCCAGCTGCTCATTTGTCACGTTAATGAACGAATCCAATACGGCCGTTATGCCCTGACGCCCTCTCGGCAGGCGGGTTTGCCCGGTCGACTGTAGTACATGGCATATCGTCTTCAGGTACAAGGGGTTCGCGAATTCTGGGTACAAAAATCGGCGTTGAATGGAATTCAATGCCGTGATATTCGAAAAATATGCGCGTAGCTTCGTACTCATGACCTCTGAAACCGAAATGAGTGACAGACGTAGCCCGCGTCCCTATATGCTCGGGGATTATCGTCCGTTCGTAAGTGCTTCGGACAGACAGAATAGTGGCGATCCACTGGGATTGCTGGATTCGCGACAAGAATGCGCCAAGATGGTTTAGCCAAATGTCGCGACCCCGACCCTCGTTCACCGCGTCGATCATCAACAGCGCGCGGGAATTGGCCGATTGAGCGGCCGCCTCAAGCGCCCCTACGAACGTGTCGGGAGTTTCCCCGTGCATCCCAACTTGTTCGAGCAATTGACGCCATGGGTCGCCTGTGTCAGTGACCGCTGACCCATCAACAATACGACAGGTGCATCCGCGTCGATCCGCCGTCTGGCAAAATCGCACATCAAGTGGGTCTTGCCGGTACCAGCACTGCCCTTGAGAATCATGAGGCGGTTGTTTGACACGCCTGAGATTTGTCTTAGTTCGTACCCTACGCTTTCGAGTTCTCTTTCCAGGCCACTGAGGTCCCTGGTGACGCGGGAGTAAGGATCCCTTTGATACTGGGGATGTTCCTCGCCATTGTCTCGTTGGCTTTCGTATTCGCGCTGAAGCTCGGCGATAGTGGGTTGAGTATCGTTGGCGATACGGATTGCTCCAGCGAGCGCCTGCTGAATGGGTTGCTCTTCCAGTTCACCAGCTGGATCGAATTCTAGCGCCCTGAATTCATCCAAGACTGAATCTACCGAGACCAGCAGGGGTTGAAGCACCGGTATATCTAATGGCTGATGGTCATTCGCCCTTGGATGTCTTAGATATAGGGCCCTTTGGCGCACGTCGATCGCGAGTGATTTGATCCGGTTGAATGATTCAATTGTACGCGCGAAGTCTTCGAGGGATTTGGCGATGTCTAGTTCGACGTGATGCTGAGGGTTATATCGAGGGCCGGCAGCGCCGATGGCTTCAGCCAGGCGTTCGTGAAACCAGTGTCTATCGAAGCCATGATTGCCCAAACCAGTAATACAGTCGCCCGATCTGCTGGGGTTGAGAAAGTCTTTCCACCAGTTCTGAGGCGCCCCACCACATGAACTGAACTTGCATTTTGCGTTGTTGCGCCCAACCAACCCATTTCTGAACATGTTGGTTCCACCTATCCATTGCAGAGGTACGCCCTGGGATACGAGCATCGGCTCGGTCAATGGGAACGCAAACGTAGTATCGCTTGAGATTGGGATGTTTAGCGAGAGCAGTTTTGACGGAGTCGTCGATTTGCGCCAATTGGGAAGGGTCAAGCGAAAAGAAATACTTGGCTTGCCAACCCCATTCGTCTCCATTTTGCAAGACGCAATAGCCCTCGACGCCGGCGTCAGGATTCCCGGTCCGGGTGAACTTGGCGTCGTGTGGTGTCTCAATTCGCGCGAGCTGGGTACACAGCTCTTCGAACCCAGCATTCTGTGACCCATTCAACGGGCGAATGTTATTCCAACTGACGGATACCATAATTTCGAAATCCACGGTATTTCGTAATGAAGATTCAGCAAATGAAAACTTTGCAGAGGCAACCTTGGCTCTGGTCAAAGGCTTGGTGTCAATCCGGTTTTCGGTCCTTACTTCGCGATCATGCCAGTCTCAACTCCCTCCGGTCTCGGCTAGTCCACCTGCTGGTGCGGTTTCTATTCCTAAGTGCCTACGGGATCGCTACACCACGATTCAGCTATGGATTCGCCCCTTATTGTAACTTGTGGCCACACGCGATCCCACTCTGCTCTTTTCCTGTATCAGCCAGACATTCATCCATTCATATCGCTGTCTCGCTCCATACACTTGTTGTAGCACGAATATTTTTTGGGGAGTTTCGTGATTGCGTGTAACAAAACGGCCTGAAGTGAAAGTTATCTCTGGTTAAAGGGTGGAGCCTGCTGCTCCAAAGGCATCTAGTACTACAGTCGCAGTTGCCCGGCACAGGGTGGATATCTCAGAGAATCGCCAACATCCAGCTACGGACTTGGTGTTCGCACGTGATTGAAGCACGTCAGTCATCAGGCTCCAAGTCTCCCGTGTATTGGATGTGCGACTGTAGTACTAGTTGCCGCGGAGGTGTCCGTTGTCCCGGAGGAAGTTCCTAGCGGCGGCCGCGGAAGCGAGGACTGAGAGCGCTGGCCATGATTCCCGTGGCGCACGAACTGCAGTATGCGCCGGCGTCGGCCGCGCGGTCGCGGTTCCTGCATGTCGGTTTCGCCATAACCAGGCCCTCTAGGGAAAGCTTAGAATTCGACGATACCCCCTCGGCCCTTTCATTCGCAATGGCCGACTATCAACAATTGCAGGGCTCTCACACATCTGCGTTCCCAGGGGAAGGTTCCGTTTGCTTGTAGCGGACCCCTCCTATGATCCGCGCCTTGGGATACGCTACAAGCGAGCGGATCCAGAGATACCTTTTCCGCCACCCCTTTTCAAGGCTGGGCTGCCGGCATTTTCGCCAGTGGCGAAAACCGGGCGTTATCCGACACATCCGAAGTCGTCTTTTCTTCGACAGCGCCACACGGCCTGAGATGAGGCAGGAAATTGCCGTTGGTGCCGTCAGTGGGTTGAGGTTCCCCTGCCGGCCACGAAGGCGTCGGCTCACCCTTTCACACTGCGCTGGCCAGCGCTCAGGCGCTCAAAGACTCTCGGCTCTACCAAAAGGGTTTTGGGACCGTTGCCGTATGTTCTGGGCAATTCCGAAATTGGAATTGCCTCCTTTGATGCCACCCTTGCTTCTTGAAGGGTGGGGAGCGTGGTGTTTCGGCATAAGAGGGTGTGTGACAAAGTGTAATCAGGTTGGTTGGAGCCTTTTGAGCATCAGGTGGACCATCGCTATATGAACCCAGGTCTCTCCGGTTTCTGGCAGTTCCTCGTAGTCCTTGCTGAGCCGTCGGCACCGGCTGAGCCAGGCCAGCGTGCGTTCAACCACCCATCTGCGAGGCAGCACCTCGAACTGGTGGCTGTCCGGTCTCCGGCGCACCACCTTCAGCAACCATCCTCCAGTCTCCCAAGCCCACGCCACCAGCCGACCGGCATAGGCCGCATCGGCCCAGATGACTTGAAGCCTGGGGAACCGGCCCAGCAGCTTGGCCAGCACCAGTCTGGCCCCGTCCCGGTCTTGGATGTTGGCGGCGTGAATCACCACGGCCAAGAGCAGCCCGGTGGTGTCCACTACGATGTGGCGCTTGCGCCCGGACACCTTTTTACCGGCGTCGTAGCCGCGAGGCCCCCTTTTTCCGTCGTCCTCACCGACTGGCTGTCAATGATGGCTCCGCTGGGAGTGGCATCCCGTCCCTCGCTCTCCCGGACCATGGGAGGCAGTGCCTCCAAAACCCGCTCCCAAGTGCCGTCCCTGCGCCATTTCCGGAAATACCACCAGACCGTTCCCCAAGGGGGGAGGTCGTGGGGCATCATTCGCCAGGAAATACCGCCCCGCACCACATACAGGATGCCGTTCACCACCTCCCGCAGGTGCACGGTTCGAGGATGTCCCCTGAGCGAAACCGGGGGCAACAGTGGTTCCAGCAAGCCCCACTGGGCATCGGTCAAATCAGTGGGATACGTTCTTCGATCCATATCCCAAAGTTACAGACTACCCGCAAACCATACCAAGCTGTTTTAATGCAAGTTCCGACATTTGTCACACACCCTCTAAGCAACTGACGTCGAACATCACAATTTCTCTGACCTTTGCATGCCCACCTTTCGGCTTTCCGCAGGGACTGACGTGCACTGAACATCGACAGTGATGTCAGCTCCAGTTGGATTTTTATTTGTGAACAGAGAGATGCCTCGCCAGACCAAATATCCTTACCGGACTCTTATGTCTGTGAAGCCAGTAATCCCCAGAAAGGCTCCATTTGCTGCCACGATGCCGGGAAGCGCACCCGGTTGTGGCACCAAGTTTGCGCCGCCGGACGGCCCTTCGATGCGCCATGTACTCCTCAATGGCCGGCCTCTCCCGATGGCGACCACCCGTCGGTGAGGCTCCATTTGCTGCGACGATGCCAGGAAGCGCACCCGGTTGTGGCACCAAGTTTGCACCGCCGGACGGCCCTTCGATGCGCCATGTATTACTCAATGGCCGGCCTATCCCGATGGCGACCACCCGTCGGTGAGGCTCCATTTGCTGCCACGATGCCGGGAAGCGCACCCGGTTGTGGCACCAAGTTTGCGCCGCCGGACGGCCCTTCGATGCGCCATGTACTCCTCAATGGCCGGCCTCTCCCGATGGCGACCACCCGTCGGTGAGGCTCCATTTGCTGCCACGATGCCAGGAAGCGCACCCGGTTGTGGCACCAAGTTTGCGCCGCCGGACGGCCCTTCGATGCGCCATGTATTACTCAATGGCCGGCCTATCCCGATGGCGACACCCGTCGGTGAGGCTCCTTTGCTGCCACGATGCCAGAAGCGCACCCGTTGTGGCACCAAGTTTGCACCGCCGGAAGGCCTTCGATGCGCCATGTATTACTCAATGGCCGGCCTATCCCGATGGCGACCACCCGTCGGTGAGGCTCCATTTGCTGCCACGATGCCAGGAAGCGCACCCGGTTGTGGCACCAAGTTTGCGCCGCCGGACGACCCTTCGATGCGCCATGCACTCCTCAATGGCCGGCCTCTCCCGATGCGACCACCGTCGTGAGGCTCCATTGCTGCCACGATGCCGGGAAGCGCACCCGGTGTGGCACCAAGTTTGCGGCCGCCGGACGGCCCTTCGATGCGCCATGTGTACTCCTCAATGGCGGCCTCTCCCGATGGCGACCACCCGTCGGTGAGGCTCCATTTGCTGCCACGATGCCAGGAATCGCGCCCGGTTGTGGCACCAAGTTTGCGCCGCCGGACGACCCTTCGATGCGCCATGTACTCCTCAATGGCGGCCTCCGATGGCGACCACCGTCGGTGAGGCTCCATTTGCTGCCACGATGCCAGAATCGCGCCCGTTGTGGCCAGTTGCGCGCCGGACGACCCTTCGATGGATGGGAGAACAACGCCGCGCGGGCACGTGTCCCGCCCACGTGAGGCCGCTCACTTCGAATTCGACGATATCGACATCGATGTCCCGTTGGAGGAGCTCCTTGTCGAGGCGTCCAAGGAAACTCCCCGCTGGCGCGTGATGTTGACCCCGCTGCCGGAGCGGCGGATGAGCCGGACAGCCAGTCCACGCCAGGGCGGGGAGACCGGGTTATCTGGTTCGGCCGCGCCGGCCTGTAGCTCCCGGGAGAATTCAGGCGTGTTCCGGATTTTACGGTAACAGGCCGGAGCTCCTGTTTGGGGAGCCGTTGCTGCGCCGCGCAGTCGCTGCGCGGGCTGGGCCGGAGCTCGCTGGAACGGTGTGTGCAGAACGGTTCATTACCGGCTGGCAGCAAGAACCAGTCCATAGAAAGAGACCAGAAAGAGAACAGAAAGAAACTATTGTTCTTATAATCGAAAGGGTGTTATCCTCATTGGCATGGTCAGATTTCTTCATTCCGCAGACTGGCAAATAGGGATGGTCAGGCACTTTCTTAGCCAGGAAGCTCAAGCTCGCTTCAGTGCCGCCCGGCTCGACGTAATCGAGGAAATGGGACGGCTGGCCGTCGAGGAGCGATGCCAGTTCGTGGTTGTGTGCGGAGATGTTTTCGAATCGAACCAGGTGCAGAGACAGCTGCTGGTTCGTGCCCTCGAGAAGATGGCCGCTTTCCCTGAAATGGGGTTTTTCCTGCTGCCTGGCAACCATGACCCGGTGAATGCCTCATCGGTCTACGAGTCTCCGACATTCCGCCAGCGCTGTCCGGACAATGTAAGGGTTCTCAGAGAGTTCGAGGTGGTTGAGGCGGTGCCGGGAGTGGAACTGGTCCCCGCTCCGTGGCCCAACAAGCATCCGACCACCGACTTGGTGGAGGCGGCTTGCGCTGGGCTTGAGGCCGGCAGTGCCCTGCGTATCGTTGTTGGCCACGGGGCAATGGACTCGATGTCTCCGGATCCCGGTGACCGGAGGGCAATCGGACTGCGGGGAGTGGAGGAGCGAGTTTCTGCGGGGCTGGTCCACTACGTTGCCCTTGGCGACCGCCATTCCACGACGAATGTGGGCTCCACTGGCCGAATCCACTATTCGGGTGCCCCGGAACCCACCGATTACGATGAGACTGACCCTGGAAACGTTCTTGTCGTCGACCTCACGGCTGACCGGGTGGAGGTGGAAATCAGGCATGTGGGGAAATGGCGGTTCCTGCAGCGCAACTGGCCGGTGAGCTCCGATCAGGACATTGACGCATTGGAGGAATGGTTGTCCGGTGAGGAGGCCAAGGAGCGCACGGTCGTCAGGTTGTCCCTGGTGGGCCAGGTCTCCGTGGCCCAGAAGGCCCGCCTGGATGACCTGCTGGAACATCACGCCGACCTTTTCGGGGCCATTGAAATGTGGGAGAGGCAGAGCGACCTTGTGGTGATCCCTGATGAGACGGACGTGGACCACTTTGGGCTTTCGGGATTCGCGAGTGACGCGTTGAGCGAGTTGCGGTCCATGGCTGAGGGTGGTGAGTCGGCCCCTGCTGCCCGTGATGCCCTGGCGCTGTTGTACCGACTGGTGGAGGCCCGTTCATGAAGCTCCATCGCGTGAAGCTGACGAACTTTCGGGGCGTGGAATGCCGGGAGGTGAACTTCGCAGAGAATGGCGTGACCATCGTTGAAGGCCCGAATGAGGTGGGTAAGACAGCCATCGCCGAGGGGCTTCGGTTTGCTATCGACCTGCCCGACAGTTCCCAGAGGGTGGAGGTAAAAGCTCTGCAGCCCGTTGGGCGCGATGAGGGTCCGGAGGTTGAGGTCTCGCTGTCGTCCGGCGATTACGAGCTGGTGTACTGGAAGCGGTGGCTCCGGCGGCCGGGCACCACGCTTGAGGTCAAGGCTCCCCGGCAGGAGAGCCTTACGGGCCGGCAGGCACACGACCGGCTGGAGGCGATACTTGAGGAGACACTGGACGATGAGCTCTGGCGGGCCCTTGCAGATCGACCAGGGGACGGAACTGATCTTGCCCAATTTCAGCCTGCCGTCCATGGGGAGGGCATTGGACCGCGCGGCCGGGGGCGAATTTGCTGACGAGCGTGAGGAGTCGCTCTGGACTCGCATCGGAGAGGAGTACGGGAAGTACTGGACTGCAAACGGACAGAAGAGGAGCACACGGACCTCGTTGCAGAAGAGGGTGGATGGGGAGCGGGAGAGGGTTACCGGTCTGGAAAACCAGCTTGAGGCCATCGAAAGCGATGTTGCCGAGCTGGGGAGGTTGGTAACGGAGTCAGACCGGCTCTCGGGCATATTGGCGGAATTCCAGAAGAGCGAAAGCGAATTCCAGCAGCGCGTGGTCGCGGTTGAGCGGTTGCGCTCCGAGGTCGAGCGACTTGACGCGATTCACAGCGCCTCGGAGGCCCTGCGGGACGGCGCCGGGAATGAATGGGAGCGGCGCAGGGGGTTGATTGCCAATCTTGACGAGCGTAGAAAGGAGCTGGCGGTTCTCGAGGCTCAGGCCAAGGATGCGGAGCCGGGTCTGGCTTTGGCCACTCAGCGCAGTGAGGCAGCAGCCGCGGCGCTGAAGGTTGCCGACGTTGCTGTGCGCGAGGCTCGGGAGAGGCTCAGCATGGCAATTGCGGATAGGGATCACCTGCGTCAGTTGATCGAGGTGGAGCAGCTTGGGGAGCGCCACGAGCGGTACATCGCTGCGGAGGAATTGCTGAAGCAGGCCGAGGAATATCTGGAGACGGCCGTTGTAGACGATGATGCGGTCAAACGGATCGAGGACGCCTACATAGAAACTGAAAGGGCCATGTCAGCCGCGGGAAGTGCTGCAGCCTCGGTAGAATTAACTGCTCTGCGCGAGTTGCCCCTCGAGTTGGGGGACGAGAGGATCGAGCTTGCGGTTGACGAGGTCAGACGGGTCCGAGTTGAAGATGAAGCCACCTTGACCATACCTGAAATCGCGCGGGTGCGTGTGATTGCGGGGCCGGAGTCCAAGGGTCTGGCCGAGGAGCGTCGTAAAACGGAGGACAACTACCGGCGGCTGTGCGAACAAGCTGGCGTTGCCGATGTCAGTGGGGCAAGGAGGGCCGGGCAAGAACGGCAGGATGCCGAGCGGAACAAGGACGAAGCCCGCAAGGCTATCGAAAGAGAGCTACGGGACCTCACTCCTGACGTGCTGCTTGGGAAAGTGGAGAGTCTCAGGGTAAGGGTGGCTGCCTATCCGAAAGAACGGACTTCGGAACCCGCCATGCCGGCGGACCTGGACCGGGCCCAGGAAATCGAGGCCGAGATATCAGACCTGGTCAAGGAAGGTGCAGTTGCGCTACAGGCTTGTCAGGATGATGTCCAGGGGGCCGAGACCGCTCTGAAGAGCGTTCACTCGGAAGGGGACAGT